GCATTTTTTCGTGAAAATCTCTCGGCTACACATAGTGCGCATTAGTGCCTTGCGCTGAACAGAGTTTCACCAAAATCGCAAAGACCCAATTCGAGAAATTCAGCGGTTTCCAAATTTAGGTCATAATATATGCGAAAATGATAAGCAAACTTTACACGGATTATATCTAGTAAACTATGAGATTCATCTCTGTATTTTGGGCATCCTTATAATAGATGGGTCCTTGCAAGCCAGCAAAACGCTTTAGGGCCTCGTAAATACGCGCGATTTCGAGCAAAGCAAACATATAGAAATTATAGTTTTCGCTATTTGTTGACGTCAGGAATTCCACACGTTAACGTACAGAAATGAGAAACTTCATCGTCAACTAAAGTTTTCTGTTTTCGCCCAGTAAGATATGATTTAAACCATGCCAACGTTTGGGACCTAACTCCATAAGGCTCGAGTTTCCGGAAGAGGATAGAGTGGTCCATGGTTTCAAAGGCTCCTTTTAGATCCAAAAATATTATACCATTTAGGAGAGATTTATCTATATTCTTAATCCACTCATTCGTTTCCTCTAATTGACCACAACAGAAAATACCATAACATACCATAGTGCTCTTTATCTATCTCCCCCAAATTTTGCAGAAGCATTATCTTCAGTTCATTTTGGTAGTTAAAATGGCCCTAAGAAGCTCTAAGAGAAAGTGAAAACAATGCTTATGCACATTATTGGGGTGACAAGCAAAGAGCAGCATGGTGTGTTATGGTATTTTCTGTAGTGGTCAATAGAGTGGTTTCCGTGGAAAACATTGGCCTGAAACCGGATTGTGACATTTATGCCGATAACGTCATAGCCTTTTGTCTTTATCTCATAAATAAAATGCGGGGCAATGTCATTAACGTGCGGAGGAATGTCAACACTGATGACGTCATTGCCTTATGTCTTCATCTCGTGAATGAAACGCGGAGGAATCTTATTAAGATAAGGTCGCTTTCATTGTCTAATAAAGCGTTGCGGTTTTGATTCATGTTCATTGATTCTTGGCAGGCACATCGTGCATATTTAACGAGGGCATTGACAAATTAGGTATTTCTGCCACGAAACACGATAGAAATGTGGTGGTGGAGGGAAAACAACGGAAATGTGATGGCGGTGAGGAATTACAATAGACTACTGCAAAGCTAATAACAACGTGTATTTGAAAACCTTTTCAAAGGATATCTCAGTTGGCCAGACCAGCATTCTTCAGGCTTACAGATTTTACTAAATTTTTATTAGGAATTACAATGTTACATAGATGAAGAATGGAGTAATACAAATTACATAAAAGGAAGATGCATAAATGACGTACAACATAAAAAAGAAAAGAAACACTAATAAGGACATAGATTACAATCCATTTTGTCGGTTTAGGCATTGAGTACAAGTGTCATAGCCTTATCTAAAAAAAATCTGATTTCCTCGCCTTACAAAGCGTGTTACTATTTCTAGTGGAATTAACTACATATCAAGGTAAGTG